CCCCAAAACCCCAAAACCCCAAAACCCCAAAACCCCAAAACCCCTCAATAAAAAGCAAGATAGAATTATTTTGGCTAAGATCTGAACAATAGTTGGATCTGATTAAACCTATTTCTGATTGGTTCTTCCAATCAGGACTCTCTTTCCCTTCTGGGCTCTGAGATCTTGTCAGTTATTATTAATGTGAAGTTTCTCATAAAAAGAATTCGAAAAATTATTAGAAAATTTCTTCTCAACCTCCTTATTTTTCCATTCCATTAAGTTAAAATTTCCATGATAAAAGTTCTCTTTGGCGGAATTGTTGCTTTGGTTACTCCTAAATCCCTCTGTCTTAGAGAGATTATTACACCTACTTCTCATCATAGAGCTGCTATTAACCTTAACTACCTCAGATGTTTGACTATAATCACTTTCTCAGGTACCTGGTCCCTTTGGATGTAGTATAGACTGGAGTTCACCGATAATGTCATTCACTTCCTTCATCATTTCTCTTCTTCTTCTTGAGCTCTCGATTCCAGCTTTGGATTCCCTTACTTGTTCAGTATGTGAGGCCCTCGTGTTCTTAAGAATCGGCTTAACGCACATCTGCTGACTATTATTTTCTTAGGCATGAATTTGTTCTGACTTTTTGGGTGTTATGAACTATTTTGATCCTAGTCTCTGAAAAATCTTGAAAAGGATTTTTAGACATATCTTCATCGATTCCTTGGATTTTTTCGAGAGCATTAGCTCGAACAGGAACTTCACTCTGGACTTCGTCAGGGTCAGCTTCTTCGAGGTCTCTGAAGTTAGCGTCTAAAGAGAAGTTTAAGTGGAAGGTTTTGTGATGGAATGTGATTGAGTAAGAGTTGAAAATTAAATTCATGACACATACCTTGTGTTCGTAATGATCCTAAAATTTTGTGAAATAAATATGAAATTCGATTATTTTAACTTATAGAAGAAATTTATCCTTTACTGTATAATTGAATTGATATCTTTGGAAAAGAGATCCTATTTTGATATGAATAACTCATTAGATCTAGAATCTATGCACTATTTGTGATTAGCTCCAATAAAATAGAATATCTTCGTTAAACTTTGGACTAAATCATGCACGAGAAACAAACGACCACAAAAAGTTTGATTGATGTGAAATAGATCCCAAAGCTCTAGATCCCCAATAGTTTCTTTTATATTTAAGCATGAACAACTTTGATTCTCCTCTAATTTTGATATAGTTTGAACTATAAATTTACCGAATTGTGAAATGAAAGATCAGTCTTTATCTTTCTCCTTTCTTCTGTCTCACTCTGTTCCAGGTTTGTGATACTTCTTCAGCAGACTTGTAAAGGAAGTCTTTTTTGTGGCTTTTTTGGGGTCTACTTGGATGGAATTTGCTCTTCGATTCCTTCCGTGACAAGCAGGACTATATTTCTCTCCCTTTTTAAGGATCTTATCGGCTTTTAATAAAATTTTATGCCCTAATGGATGTTCATACGGAGATGAGAAAGACCTCGAAATCGATTTAGACGTAGAGGCTTTTCTTTTAATGTCTGAGGAATATTTTTCTCTTGATATTCTTCCAGAGGTCTATAATAATTAATCAGCCACGCCTCAGTAAATCTTACTTTTAGCATACTGCTATTGTCATACACTTGCGAACAGTTCAGCCCTTGAGGATCGTACTCATTACTTTCTAATAATTTACTCAGTTCTGAAAAATGGGTAACGTTAGTTTCATTAACAGAATTTTCATCTCCTTTCTTTTTCTGTAAACTTTCATATTTAACTCTCGATACTCTTGGATTATAAAAGTTGGGACGGATATTCTTGCCAACCTTCACTCTTGTTCACCCACTTTTGATCTTGATCGATGCCATCCTGGGTTGGATAACTTTGTTGCTATTCAAAAGGGTTTTCATAAATTTTTATATTTTTCATATTGAAATTTCTAAATAATTCATAATTTTCTAAATTTATAATTCAACTGGCCTAACTGATCAAGGGGTTTTGGGGTTTTGGGGTTTTGGGGTTTTGGGG